TGGCTCACTCGGGAGAGTGTGGTGCTGATAACACCAAGGCCACGGGTTCGGATCCCATATAGGGATGGCCGGTTCGCTCACTGGCTGAGCGTGGTGCTGACAACACCAAGTCAAGGGTTAAGATCCCCTTACCGGTCATCTTTAAAAAAAAAGAAGTCCAACAAGCTTGAGACAGCAATGCTGTAAAGACATCAAGGCTGTGAGGACGTCAAAGCTAGCTAGGTAACAAAGCCACATGGAGAAGCACTGAGGTGCTAGACATGCAAGTGAAGCTTCTTGGGTCTTCCAGACCAGCTCCCAGCCACCAGCTAAATGTAACTGTGTGACTCTAGCTAATTCCATATGGAGAAGATCCACCCAGCCAAGCCTTTCAGAATTCCTAACCCATATATTCAGGGGAAATAATCACTGTTGTTTTAAGCCACACATTATGAAATGATTTTTATGCAGCAATAGATAAATGAAACAGGATTTATAAAAGAAAGGTAAGAAAGAAAACTGCATTCTGGGAATAGTGAATTTTGTGTATACTTCTGGGATAACCTGATTAGCTGGCAGCTAGCAAAGAGGTCAATCCGGGACTTCTGTCCTTAAGTAGGCTCTATAAGGTTATTAAAAAAAAAAAAAATTGGGGGGCTAGCTGGTTATCTCACTTGGGTGAGTGTGGTGGTGGTAACACCAAGGTCAAGAGTTTAGATCCCTGTACTGGCCAGCTGCCAAAAAATTTTTTTTCAATTGTTTACTGATTCTTAAGAAAAGTTTTAGAGATTACATATGGAGCATACTGTATAACGTCTGCCAGAGTGCTTTTATTAACACCCTTGACCTTGTTAGTTCAGTTTTGTATCCTCTCCCTTATTAGAATTTTATTTATTTTTTTGGTTGCTGGCCGGTACAGGGATCCAAACCCTTGACTTTGGTGTAAGCAACACCATGCTCTAAGCAACCTAGCTAACCAGCCAGCCCTCCTTATTAGAATTTTATAGAAGACAATTCTGGGATTGGGAAATGACCAATTCTGAGTAGGCTTGGAGGATATGAACCACGCCCATAATTTTCCCCTCTTTCAAAAACAGCAGCAGTGGCATTGGCATTCTGTTCAGCTCTTTAGTCAACAGTCAGGGATACTGAAACATGAAATACCCTAAGAGGTCTCAGAACATTGCAGAAAACTCTCAACCTTGAGTCCCAAATATGACATTGCACTGCGGAATCACGGGTGACTGGTGCTATAACTCTGGGAATGGAAGCTGCTTAGTGGGGCCAAGTAGTCTGTCTAAATCTGCATGAGTACAAAGATGGTAAAGACAAAGGAGAGGTAAGATGGTGAACAAGAAATATAGACAGAAAGAGAGGAAAATGGAATTAAGAGTTGAAATACCAACAGAACAGAATCACTCAAAGTAAAAGAGAATTGAACTTTATTTATTTGGAAGATAGGGTGAATCCATCACTGGTGATTGGAGCTCTGAGGTTGTATCTTCTCCTCAGGAAGGTGGTCTGGAATGGGGTGGGCTGTGTTTGGCAGGGGCTGTGGTGGTTTGAGATCTGGGTAGATGAACAGAATCAGAGGAGCAGAATTAGTTTTTTAAACTGTGGCACATCTCACACCAACCCAGAACCTGCCTATGTGCTCTCTTTGGCTCTACATTCCCCATTGTCTCTATCACCTGGGGTATCCTTCATTTTTCTCTACCATGTCTCACCTGCCTGGCTCCCCAGCTGTGCCTCAGGCCGGTCTCCCCAGAGCAGATGTTCAGGATCGTTGAGGAACCGTTGGCTGCGCTGGCATGTTAGGCAGGTCTGTACTGTCCAGCACTGTCCCCTGTGGCCTGCGTAACAGTGGGAAAAGGAAGAAGAGTGCCCAGGTTTAGAAGAAAAGGTCTCCTGCACGCAGTTCTGCCTCCACTGTTTTTCAGTAGGAATTCCCCCCACCCCCAATTTGAATGCAAACTTGATGGTGTAAGGCCCTGAATAAACTCACTCAATCTCTTGTAATTCTTTAAGTTAAAGTCCAAACTCCCTAACAAGACTCTTCAAGATCTGGCCTATTTCCCTCTCCAGCCTCATGTCTTGCCCCTGTCCACCTCAATCTCCAGCCTCCTGAACTCTCCCTTCCTTGACAGCAACACAAGCTCTCTTGTCAAGGAGTCCTCACACATGCCTAGAATTTTCATCTCTCATTCCCTTTGCTTATCATGAACCTCACCACCACTAGCATAAGTAACTTAGCATTCTACTTCCCCAATTAAAGCATTTTTCTACACTATTTTAATTGTTTCCTAGTCTGTCCTAGCAGACTGTAATTTCAATAATAATGAATCTAGCACAAACACGTGACACATCTTAGAAAATAAATATTTGTTTAATGAACGAATGGTGATGATGGGAATCAAATCCTTCATGATGCCAAATAACATCTACTATGCATGGGCGGGATTGCCTCTTAGTGCAACACCATTTCTCTACTGCTCAGATAGGGGAAAAAAACCAAGCCAAGCCTTAGTCTGTACAAGTGGAGTTAACAACTTAACCCAGAGCTGGAGAAAGAAGGCTCTTGGAAATCCCACGCCTGACACTCATCTAAAGTGAGGAAGGGGTCGCTTAGCTTCCATTCCCCTATCTCCACTTGCCCCGCAATCATCCCACCTCGGCAGGAGCACTCACGTCTCTGGCGCTGGGTGCAGGTAAGGCCCGAGATGAGGAGGGAAGAGCAGCCACGACAGAGGGTCCTCTTTATCGAGGGGTCCCTGGGGGTTGGAGGGGGAAGGTGGTCCGGGGCTGCCGCACTCCCTCTCCGGTTCTTCCCCGTCCCGCCCGACGCCAGAACCCCCGCCCGTCTCACCGCCGCAAGACTAGCCGCTTCGCGATGGTCCTCTCCGTGTGGCAGTAAAACCTCGCTAGCGCCTGGTTCTCGGGAGCCTGTGCAAGGACACAGTGGGCGGCCTGGGAGAGGACAGCAGTTACTCCGGGCCGGCCGCACCAGGACTGCTGCCCAGTTCGGCCCCCATGGCGGACTCACCTGGTACAAGAAGCTGAGTCTTTGAAAGGCCTCGCGGTCCTTCACCGGCCCCGCCATTCGCACAGCTCGAGCCGCAAGCAGGCCCCGTCTTTCAAACAGCCCCGCCCCAGGCGCCTACACAAGGTATCCTGGGAAGTGTAGTCCCCGGGCTCGCGACTGCTGCCCTGAGCAGCTCTCCGGTGGCCCTTACTCTGGCGCCACCCCATGGACTCACAGACTCACCTGTTTGTAAACCCATCCCCCTCAATCCAAGCCCAGGGTACTTTAATAGAGTTGGATTCCTTCCAGTCTTCCTCAAGCCCCTGATCAGTTATATTAGGTAGAGATTGGAGGAGCTAGTGCAGCAGGAGAGGATCTTAAAACTGCTAAACATTTTCAGGAAAGAAGACTGGCCTTTTTATGCAGATAGGCTGGGGAGATGGTTATGTGCAATTTATACCCAACTAGACCTTATGCTCTACTTTCCTGAAGCCAAAGGCCTGGGAAATCTACAGAATGAAGAAACAAGAGGTTTTACACATTCAAAAAAAGCCCTGGTGCCAGAGGAGGTAAAGGTAGGAAGGATCATGAGGGTGCTGGAGGGAAGAGGGCCCCCCGCCCCTTAAGCACAGCTTACTCCTACTTTTCCACTTACCAAAGAAACACACTTTTTGTGACACAGTGCTGGGCACACATTCACTTGCTGAGTGGATGGTTTCTAATTCCTGTTAGGTCCAGTCAACAGCATCCCCTTCCCCTGAAACTATATCATTCCCTCTTTCTTTCATTTGTTCAGTCTGGCATGCTACATTTACCTTTGATTCATTGTTAATGACTACCCGTTCCTGAGGTTGGAAGCAGAGGGATGCAAACAGAAGGGGCAGAACATGAATGAGCCCCAAGACAGGGGAGGGAAGCATAAGTTAGGAGAGGGTAAGACCTTTCTCCCCTCTCAAGCCCCCTGCCAGGCTGGGGCAGAGAACCTCTAGGAGTGGTTTCATAAGGGTCCTCAGACTGAAATGAGAAAAGTGTGTTTAAAATGTAGATTGCCAGGCCCACCCCAGACCTCAATTGATCACTGAGGGTGAGATCAAGGAACATGCATTTTTTTTTTTTTTTTTTTTTTTTAAGATGACTGGTAAGGGGATCTTAACCCTTGACTTGGTGTCGTCAGCACCACATTCTCCCAAGTGAGCTAATTGGCCATCATTATATAGGGATCCGAACCCGTGGTCTTGGTGTTATCAGCACCACACTCACCCAAGTGAGCCACGGGCCAGCCCCAGGAACATGCATTTTTAACACCCAGTGATTCATACACATCGACACAAGGGCTTCACCAAATTACCACACAACACAGAGATCACTTCAGTGGATCCTTTGTTCCATATCACTTTACCAACCAAAGTATCTTGCCACAAAGAACCACAGTCAAGGCACAAAGGTAAGTGGAGAGTCTGGACAAAATCCTGTTGAGGTGGTAGAAGGAACTAAAATGCCCTCAAAAAACTGTAGTTTCTTGTCTCAGTCTTCTGTGAAGATTACCCAAACAGCAGATAATCCAAGTCATTTTAGTTTGGTTTGGCATGCATCGCTTTACCTTTTTTGACAACATATGTACCCTATAGGTTATTTGGCCTAACATTAAAATGATTTACATTCTCCGAAAAGGGGATGGCAAGGGTGAAGGATGGCAACAAACAAGCAAAAGGCTGGCTCTTGTGAACACTAGTACCAGGCCAGATGCACACAGGCCAAAAGGAGTTGCCTATCTGGCCCTTCCCTATAATACACACCACCCTCTTCTACCCTGTCCTCAGGGTGAGAAAGGCTCCATTACCTTTCTTCCTTTCTGGCTTACACACCTTAGCCAGATAACAAGGCTGACAACTTGGAAGTACTTAGTAACATTCTTTAAGGCCAGGGCTTTGGATAGAAATATCCTTTCCTCTGATACCTGACTCTCTCCTCTCCAAGTTCCCTTTTGAAAACAGTGAAATGGCAGATGTGTCTTGCAGGATCTCTTCCACCTCCTTTCTGAAGAGGAGCAAGGTGACTGACTTCTTGGAGACAACCAACTATATAGAGGCAGATAATCAGCCAGTTCTGCAGAAGGCAGAGGCAGGGACCTGGGTTCTCCTCTGCTTTCTTTCACCCTCTCCTTCCCACATTCCTACCTCTAGCCAATCCTAGTCATAATGGCAACCTAACCCTGGGACAGAAGACCAAAGAAACCTCCCTCCCCTTCATCAGTCTCTAGGAATCTGTTCCTTTAATCCTCTTTACTGACCTTCCTTCTAAACTTCTTGTTGCCCAATCTCTGCCCTCAGAAAAACTCAACTTCTAGATCCATGAGAGCAACTGTCATTCATCTTTCTTCAATCTAGAGGTACACAGACCCCCATGATTTTACTCAAGAAACAAGACTATTCTGGGTCAAAGACCCCCTAAAAGGATGTACAGGGATTTCTGTTTCCTCCTCCAGTTGAAGCAAGTCAGACCCTCTCACAGAGTTTTTGTTTCTAGAAAAGCCTCTCCTTCCTTCCCAACCTATCCTTGTGCAATAGAAAACCTGATGGACTTCTGGGAAGACAATCTGCTGGGAGCCAGCCTCCCACTCAAACAGGTAGGAGGGAGACACAGCTGTGCTCTCTCATTGAAGCCCAGTCCTATCTACTCCTTCACACAAACCATCCTAGAAACCAAGGTGTTTCTCCAAGATGATTCAGGACTGGAACCAGGCAGACATGAAGACATTCCAGCAGGACACAGGAAGGAAGGCCCATAACTCTTGACCCTGCCTCACCCCAGTTATTCCCATGTCCTAACCTGTCACTCCCAATCTGTGGGGGGCCTGATGGTAAGTGGTGCAGCATTCTTCCGACCAGCCCGGATGCCTGGGTAGAAGAGGGGCCAAAGTTTCTCAGTAAAAGTATCAGTGAAGGTGTAGATATGAGAGCGGTCTGTGACGTTGTAAAAAGACAGTGTGCCGGCCTCATAATCTAGGAATATGCCCACCCGCTTAGGTTTCACTTTGATGTGCAAAGGGGTAAAAGGTGTGGTGGTAGCTGCGTATTTGTCCCCATTCCACAGCCGCACCCGCCAGTAGCCAGTCTCAGGGAGTGGAGTCAGCTCGCCCTTTCGGCTCACAGAGTCCTGGCACACGCCCACTGCCCAGTGGGTCTTGTCGCCCACCTCCACCTCCCAGTAGTGTCGACCTGAGGTAAAACCCTCAGTAGCCAGGACGCAAGGGTAGAAGGTGAAACGCCGTGGAGTTTCAGGGAGATCCCGGAGTCTTGTCTCCACAAACTTGACGCTCTTACGATCTTCCGACAGGACAAGGTTAGGGTGAGCGGTTTCAGGGTCCAGGGTCACATCCGCTGACGGGAGAAGCCAGAGTGGGGAGCTAGATGAGGACGGGAATAGCTAAACACCCCTGCCTCACACTTCCAGCCTGCCTTTACAGAGCTCGGTCCCTTAAAGTCCCCAGAACACTGCAGTTTGGTTAACTTTTTCAATCCACGGTGCCACCTAAGGAAGGGAGGAAACAATGGCTTCACTTTTCACCCTGACCCTAAATAAAAGATAATGATCTTTTGACTCTGCAGGGGTTGGTAGTCTAGGTCCCACCTGGTTCTCTCTCCATCTCCCTCCATATCATCATTTATCTCACTGTGTGGAGAAGTGCAAGGCATGGTCTGAGGGCCAGAAAGAACAGAAATTGTTAAGGACACAGAGCAGGACAGCATTATGATCTAGGGATAGGGTGACTGTGTGTCTGTTCTCCTGGAACAAGCCTGACTTATGACAATATTCGCAGCATAAATATTAATGACACTCCCTTTCACTCTCAAGATTGTCCCAGTTTAGATGGTAAATTATATGTTCACTCTACCTGATGATTTAGGCAAATTAACCTTTCTAGATCCCTATGTAGAAAAGCATGGACCTAAGAGTAGATGACACCTAAGGCTTCCTCTCACTCCAAGTTCTGTGACTCAGACTGAGACTAAAAGCTAGGTAAAGGGATGGGTGTAGGCATGAAAAGTGACAGACAGGATAACTGAAGCCCATATGAGGTAGGACCTAAAGACTTTCTTCTCTCTAGTGATTTCCTCTGCTAGTTTCCTTTTGGGAACGACTCACCAATTAGCTGCTTAAGTATTTTCCTTAGGGCAAAGTACTGTCGGGGGAAATTGCTGAAGTTCTTTTCCAGCTCTATAGATACTGAAGTCACCTCCATGGTCTTCACTTTCTCACATCTAAAAGGATAAGGAGATAGGGGAAGAAAGGGCAGGGTCAGGGGTAAGCTCCAGCCAAATGAGTATTCAGATGTTGTCATCTTTAAGGAGAATCTAAAATTCTCCATCTTCTCACTTTCCCCCTCCTCCCTGCAGACAAGGAGCTTGCCTATTCCTTTCTTTTACTAATCTATGGAGAGCCATATGGTCTCCTGGACAGATTCTTATCTTGAAAATGAGCCTTTTAACTTCCTGGTGGTATTCGTGCAAATAGATAATCACCCTCCCTGCTCTCCCAACCCTTTCCTCCTGCCATCTTGTTTGGACACAATTCCATCCACGGGCACAGTAGAATCTGGTTCTACATTATCATTTTCCTTATCAAGGAAGTCCTGATGCTCAAAGAAGAAAAGGTCAGGGATTATTACTTCTGATGATTTGTTCTCTACCTGGCTTCATGAATGCAATAAACATCCCATATCTGACCCAGACACTGCATAATTTTCCCATCCTTACTCCCCCAACTCCTTACTGTACCTGTAGTCTCTAACCCAAGGCCTAACTCATTTAAAGACACACAAGAATCACTTACTTTTCCAGGGTAGTTTTGACATCCTAGAGGGAAGGAGAAAAGAAAGGAATATTGGTCCTGGTATTCAAGGGTCCTGAAGGCAAAAGGTTCCCCCTTCTCCCAAAAGTTCTAGATCTATAAAATAGGCATAAGGCAAACTGAGGGTCACAATGGAAGAGGAAGAGCTCCAGAGGGATCTGAGTGCATCTCTCTCAACCTAATCCCCACTTTCAATTGGTCATCATGAAGCTTGGTAATTTATATCACTTCCAAATGGTTTCTTGTGTTTGTCTTTGCTCCTCAAGGACACTAGGAGCTTCCTGCAAGGGACAGGGATTGTGTCTGCTCTTTACTCTGTCCCCCAAGTACCAACCACACACCTCAGTCTCCTTAAGGATCAGTATAGATAGTTCCAGACTGGTGGCATAGGAAGAAATCACATTTTCCTGTGGTAGTTTGGTATCCCCTGTCTGGTACTGGTTAATAAACATTAATATCTGTGCCAATCCTGATTTGAGAATACTTGGGGTCCAGAAGACAAAGACAACAAATCTCTGTCCTGCAAGGATTTCCTAGTTTAATTTGGAAGGCAAAACACACATACATGAAAGGACACAAGAATAAATACCAAGCAATACATAAAATGCAAATAAATGTACGACGAGGCCTCACTGATTCAAATACTGGTAATATGATCTCTATGATAAGGAATATGTTTCCTTCAGCCTTGCTAACACCATTCATCTGCTTAAAAGAACAAGCTATTTCAAACATTTTAAAGGCATTATTTACATATCAAAAGCAATATATTATTTACACATAATTTCAAGTATCCTTTAAACTATGTTTCTATTTTTTAGCACTAGGTAAATCAAGTTTCAGGACTTAAAGGTAATGGTAACTGCATTTACAAAATTTTTAATGCATAATTTTTTGCTAATTTAGATTAGATTTCCCTCTTTTCAAAAGAGTTAATTTTTTCTTTGTTACAAATTAAGAACATAACTGCTGACAAGACATAAGAACACAAAAATGATTAGAAAGAGATGGGAGAAATCAGAGAGGTCTCTCTCTA